ATCACCAAGGTTATTGTGATTTGAGTGCAAGTACGGGAATTAGCTGATGAAATTCAAGGGTTTTCAAGCTTTCAAGGCGCTTTTGATTTTCAAGAAGATAGAGCAATTTGTTGGATTGTCATTATGTGATCTTTCATAGAATGACGATGCTTGGATAGGAAATAAGTGTATCCCCGCACTCTTGCATCAACGTACAATAGTGGGAGGGAACGGGTGCAATGTTTAATTAGACATTATGGATTTCAGCTTACTTCTACCTCTCGACTCACGTGCTCTCCCCCCCCCCACCCTTGTTTCTCTCACTCTTTTCCCCGTTGCCTGTGGCCTCGTCACCTCGGAGCATGCGGCATGAGGAATGACTTTGGTTCACTTTTGGCAGCGGTTGAAAGATGCAAAGAAAGAGCAAAAGGCCAGCTATCACCAGGGGGGGAGAGTCCCCCTCGGCTGCCTGAATCCAAGTCCTCTTCTTTCACTGCTCCTCCCAGCTTCCTCGTTCCCTCCTATTGTGTGCTCGCTGTAGTAGCATCTGGTTAATGGGCCTCTTCAGTGGATAGTCTCTTCTATCTTCGTACGTGCGGACAAACACACATAGCCCGCGGTGCACATAGTTTGCATAGTATGCGCTGGTAGTTTTGCATCTTTTTATTATATTTCTTCCCCTCTTTCTGTCTTGGTAGAATAGTACGGTGCTTTGTAACCGGTTGAATGTGGGAAGGACATTTTGTGAAGGACACAAAGTAATTCCAAGTGTTTCTGTTTGAAACATTTAATTTGATATGGGTTTGTTCTGTACTGCATGTGTGTGTTATTATAAGAGGTTATTTTGGACAGTGCAGCAGTTGATATTACCTATTGGAGGGGGTCATATAAATATTGTCTCCCTCTCGTCGTGTTTGGTTTAACATTGTCCTTATTTTATAATTCCATACCCCGAAACCAAACAAGGAAAGTTAATGAATCCCAGCAGTGATTTCTGTACACCGAATAGAGGAAATGTATTCCGGCTGCAGACTCTCTAATTAACTGGATGGAGACGTGGGTAGAAGATGCTACAAAGGGTCAAGAGAGTAACATTGCGTGTGTTTTTGTCAATGTGTGTCCTCTCTCTTGGACACCGGTTTATATAAACTCCTGGACCTAAACTCTGACGGGTTTGCACGGTGTAAGCCACATGAGTAATCTCGGCAAATCAAAGACAAGGCCAGCAGCATTTTTTTTTTGAGAGCTGGCAGAATTAGCTCGCTAGGAATGCTCAGCGCTGGACACAACACTACAGGGCATTCTGTTTAACCTACCCCGTCCTCCTAACAAATAAGCAGGGATCAAAGGATTAGAGCACCAGTATTAAAGCCAGCTGGAGACCTGAAGCCGACTACAGGCATGCTAACATGATGCTATTAATGTTACATGTTCACATGATGGCATACAAGTCTATGCAAGGCTTGGCTTCTTGTTGTCACCGCATGTTTAGATTTGTGGACATTTGGGACAAGTAGTCTCAATGGATTGTTTACCGGTGTTGTAGTGGACCACTGCAAACATCTTAAACACAGTTGTCAAAAGAGGGAACTTGAAACGATACAAATGATTTCAAACCGTTCGTGCCGCATTGCTTGCTAATCTGCAATAGTGCATTTGGCGTTGTGGTTTGTGGTGATACTACCATATGTCTGCTTCTCAGCGATGGTTCCCTGACTATGAGAAAACCCCAGATGACACCTGAGTCGAAAAGAAATAACAAACAAAGCCTCTTCTAGCAGTTTGATTGACTCACCCTGCAGTATTCCTTTACAGCTGAGCCATTACAGCTGCTAAATGACGGATAAGAAATCAATATCCTACCATGATATCATCTAGTGTATTTAGCCAGTGTAAACTTTGCTTTTGGCTCCCCATCGCTGCAGACACATGGTTTTATGTCCTCTTGTCTGGAATGTGCTGTTGAGTCTTTCATTGAAAGGCAATGGAAATGTGTTTTCCAGATAGCATTACAGTTGCAATAAAGCTTGGCTTGGGCTGTGATTGAAACAATGCTGCGCCTAAGCCGCACTGAGCCCACCTGTTTGTTCTTCCGTAATTGGATTCTGCTTCATTCCATTTGCCTTAATGCTGATGCATAATGCAGTGTACTGAGGGGACCAGCCATTACTAGCCAGGGGACAAGGCTTGGAGGAGTAACTCGACCTCGCCTCTCCCGCCCACCCCCCCCCGTCCCCCCCGTCCCCCGTCTCTGGGACATCTTTTCAGGGCCTCTGTCCTTCAAAGCAGTCACTTGCTCATGCTGGATGGATTGATGGCTGAGGCTGCTGGCCTGATGGGGACCAGAATAGCAGGTGTTGATGTTACAGCCTACAAGAACAATAAGCTGGCCCTCAGCAGCATGCTAATCCAAAATAAACAGGAGCTGGCGCGGACGGTTTGGCGGAGGGATCCTCATCAAACGAATGAAGAACTGCTACCAAGAACGGAATGTAGAGCCAAAGCGTAATCTTTCCTTTGTAGTCAAGAATGTACAGCAACACACCTCAGTCATCTGCTGCACGCCAACGCAATGGCCACATCCAAGCTCAGCTCAGCTTATTTAGTTGACTTTACTCACACTAGCATCATTGTCATATACTGTATTTATAAATAGAATAAACTGCTTAAGGAAGACATAAAAATATTGAATTCCAGTGTAACTATGTAACATCAAATTGATGAAAACTACTTTGACCACAGCAATTGTGATATCTGTCCCATTGTGCACCTTATGTCAATGATTCTTCTCGTGTAGGAGGTGGATAGGGTGTCACGGCCAAATCTGTAAACATCACAACAGCTTCACTAACTGTCATCATGACAGAGACTCCCACTTGCGTTTTTGCCATTTTCATCAGGGACATACTTACTTCTCTCATGATCAGCTGCCTTTGTTAAGTGGCTGGTGTCGATGGCTGTGACTCAGCTCTGCCCACAACAATGATGATGATAAGACATCTGGAGACGTGTGTGTGTGCGCGTGCGTGCGTGCTTGACCATAAATAGTATGTGCACACATTGAATATGGGAGCAGTAAGTATAGCGTTGGAAAAGAACCGTGGAGCAATAAAAAAAAAGTGACATAAATTGTGTGGGTACTGGTATATAACTGAGTGGGTGAGCGACTGTGGTCAAGGTTCATTAGCGTGTCATCGGCTGCCTCCACAGCAAAATAATAAGGCCTCTCTTTCTCTCTCTCTCTTCCCTCCACTTTCTTCCCCCTCTGCATCCGCTGAATATGAACTCAGCTGTGAAAAATAAGGGCGTCTGATCTCAAGTCACCTCTCGCGCACACTGACACATGACTAAGAAGCAGCCGATGAAACTAACGACATTAAAATGGTAACTGCCAGGTTGAGATTGATAGAGAGGGAGCTTGATGAGCTGCAGAGAAGGCTTCAGCGAAATGAAAGTGATTGAAAGAGTATGCAGTACGCATTTGATGAAAAACTGGCATCTTGATCTCAGGCTGAGTGCGAGAAAAAGGAAAATATTTCCATTTCTTCTGACCCTTTTCCATAGTTATTCATCAATAACTCTCTTAATGAACATATCCCCTGGCTACAGAGACAGATCACTTCTTTCCCAACTGCCTCCACTTGAAATAGAAGCTGCGACATCGATTGCAGTGATGTGTACGAACATTTTCGAATCATTAAAATTCTGCAGACCGGGAGAAATCAGAGAATTGTAAATACTGTTACTTAAGAGGACATGGAGCAACGCTTCGCGACAGATATTAAATTCTGTGCGTATGTGCACACATCGGTCGGGGTGTGTGCCGTCAGTTGAGCTTTGATGAATGGATACGGCCGCGCTGACAGACGAGAAGAGAGGGTGACACAGCTGGGAGGGAAGGGAAGGGAAGGGAGGGGTTAGGTAAAGGTTCACTAGAGAGGAGTTGACAGATCCCAAATGCTCGGCTTCATTGCATCAGCTGGGGAATGATTCACAGAAGACGTAAAAAATGACGCCCGATAGACATCTTAAAGAACAGTATGGTCTCACTGGTGCTGAGGATAGTAGAAATGAAAACTAGTTTGCTTTAAGTAGCATTAATACATCACAATAGTGTGAAAAGCTAAATATTCTTCATTCGATATGAGGTTCTGACACAAGACAACAGCGTATATTTTTTTAACTATCCCTGCCTTGATGGATGCTTGCATTACGCTCCCACCATGCTCCAACTGACATGTGTTTGACCCCTATCCTCGTCTACAGGAGAAAGCACCTGGTGCCTCACCACAACACCATTAGTGGTCAACCACACACACACGCTCTCGCACACGCTCTCCACATGAGATATTTTTAGGGGATGTGATACAACCACTATGATAGCTAACGCTCAGAGAGTCACACCCCATGGGCTTGACAGGAAGGGATCCATTTCCTGACAGCAACCGCAAACCATCCACACACGCAGCACATACATCCTCGGTGTGTGAACTTTGTGTCCCTCGGACATCGTTGAGGATTTTAGAGAGTAAAATGCATGAATGTATACATATGAAGTATTAGCACAACATGAAATCTTCCAGTCCAGTTTGGAAATCTTCCAGTCTCTATTTTTTATATAGAGGATGCAAATTCCTTGATCCTTAATAAGCTGCTGCCAGTTGTGGAATCTAAAACGCTACAATTAAACTGAGCAAAGCACTCCACTTTCCCCAGAGACATTTCCCAAGCACATCTGTAAATACTTTCTGGCTATAATTTCACAAGAACCATGACTAACCCTACAAAATCCACTTAAGAGTCAACATTAACATCTGAAAGTTTACTTTTTTTCTGAATAAACTACCTCCGTTTTCTTACTCTACACGGAAGATTTACTCATTGTTATAAATGTATTGATGCAGACCTATTATACGAAGGGAAAATAGAGTCAGGAACTTGTTAAGTGCATGTAAGCCACTACATGTAGTATTATATTAACACCCTCTTTACTTTTGTCGTGTGATTCTTTTTTTTTTCAGCCTCCACCATTGCTGAGAACGGGAGGAAAACATGCCTGAAGCTCAAAGTTTTCGTTCGACCATCAAGTAAGTGTTTGCATGCAGCACAAGGCTTTGTAATAGAGCTTGTTGAAGTACACATTTGGATTGGAAATCAAAACAGTTTACGTCTACTTCTCTGGTTACCTCACTTCCTCCTCGGTTACCTTCTGCTCGCTGTCCAACATGCCCCTTTCATTCATCACGAAAAAGTGCTTTACTTGCTAAGAACTATTTTTCTGAAAACATGAAAAGGATGATAGATGATCACATCAAATAAAATCCAGGTCACTTCATACTTCATCTGAATGTTGCCATGAGCTTTTTTGCTTGGGATGTTTGATTTCAGGGCTGAGAGGGGGGGCTTCAAATGTCACTAACCTATTTGGCATAAACCTCTAATGATCTTTCATTCTCCCTATTTTCTGTTATAGACAGCTGTGTGAAAACTATAGGCGTACATGACCGCGTTTTTGATGTAAACGACAAAGTAGACAATACATTAGAACCACGAGGTTAGTATGGCTTCCTGCTTATTTGATTCTCTTCAGTGTGACCGCCCTACATCTGTACATCTGTACATGTGTCTCCTGTCTCTGTGCCTGTGCCTGTCTCTGTGCCTCTGGAAGCTGATCTGTCCTTCCACATCTCTGCCTGATGCCTCTCTTCCTCTGATTCTTCTCCAGATGTTGTGTCATGCCACTGTTGCTTGCATATTAAAGGCATGCATATTATTGCATGTTAATGTATATTTTCATTACATATATATATATATATATATATATATATATATATATATATATATATA